ACAGTGCTTAAAAATACTGATTGTTCTTGCAGAAGACCCGGGTTTGAATCCCAGGACCCACATGGCAGCTAACAACTGTCCGTAACTCCAGTTCCAGGGGATCTGAGAGCCTCTTCTGTCCTCCGTGGACATTGCAGGACATGAGTGCACTTACCTACACACAGGCAATACAGGCATACACATAAAATAAAAATAAAGTATTAAAAAATGAAATTATGAAATTCGCAGGTAAATGAACGGAACTGGAAACAATCATCATGACTGAGGTAACCCAGACACAGAAAGTCAAATGTTGCTTACTTTCTTGCATAGCTGGATGCTGGCTTTCAAATCTTAGATATTCACATTCCAATCCAGAGAGGTCAGAAAACTAATAGACAGCAATCGGGGAGTAGGGGGGACTGTCTTCCTAGGAGGGGAGACAGAATGCAGTGATAAAACAGAGGAAAGGGGAATAATAGAGTAGGAATGGTTAAATGGCATGGGGAATGGGAGGGCAGGGCAGAGGACAGGGTGTGAGGAGGGATAACTAACACCAAAGGCCTTTAGAAAAGCCATATGGAAACTTATTACTACAGAAGGGTCTTACAGTATACATATTCACCTTATAAAAAGTGATTAAAAGGAGTTACCTTATAACAGGGGGACATTGCCCCTACTAGACACCATAGGCTACAAAGCAAAAGCCCAGTGTCAGGAATGGACTCCCTCTTTTGAAGTTGTTAACCAGGGGTTCCCATACACCCTCAAACAACACCGGCCATCGCCCCTGCTCTTGATTGCCCACCAGAACTTGACAGTAAGACCCTATTGCTGAAGACGCTACATATATGAGCTGTAGAACAAAGAGAAATTAAGCTGGTGCTGTCTTCAGAGCCTCATCCTGCTGGCTAGCTTTCATACTGCTGGCAGGTGCTATGCATGCTAGAGAAGAGAAAATTAATTAACCTTATCCAGCTTTGAATCCTGAAAGCTACAACAACTGGTCTGGCAAGATATGCCCATTGGTGCAATAGTGGCACAAATATTATAAGAGTAACCAAACACCAATTTCTGATTGGTAAACAATCAGTAACCAATTTCTGACTGGATTTAAGGTCCTCTTTACAAGATAAAACCCATACCTGACATTGACATCAAGTCTAGGAACCTGAGGCTAGAGAGGTCACAGGTCATAAGAAAGAACCTAATACTATTATTCTACTAAACAGTCAATTTAATACTATATATAGTATAAATAATGACTTATCATTGTACCCACAGATTAATGCATTTCTCAACTCTCAGTAGAGATGCTTCCTTATGTAGCAGATGGCAATTAACACAGAGATCCACAACTGGTCAACGTGTGGAGAATAAGAGGCTGCAGAGTGATTATCCCTGAATTGGATCCCTATATCAAACTTCTGCCTCCCAGGGTTCAGGGATCAGAGCAGAAGAGGGCAGAAACACTGTAAGAGCCAGAGGTGGTAGATGATCACAGGGAAGCAGAGTTTTCCAGACAGCTGGTCAACTACTCATATGAACTCACAGCAATGGTGAGAGCATGCACAAGTGCCGCAGAAGCTCAAGCCAGACAAAATTCCAACATAGATGTGGGGAAGTGGGCAAGATTTTCCAGTTCTGCCAGAGGAACTACTGGCGACCAATGGCTGCAGAAGAGAGAGTCAGTCTCTAAGAATGAGACACTTGGTAGGTTGACCAGGCTCCAGTGGTGAGCCCCCACTGAAGGGCATTTGGGGACACAAAGTTGACTCCCTAGGCTTTTATATACATATATATGAATATGTATACATATATATTCATATATATATATATATATATGAATACATGAAATTGGATAGGGGATAGTAAGGGGTTGCAGATAGGGGAAAGGATCTAAATACGATCAAAATACATTGCATGAAATTTGCAGAAAGTCAATAAAAAGAGTAAATAAATAACAATAAACGTGTGATGTTGATGGAAAACACAGGCAAAAGCCAGTTTCTTATATCTGATTTTGTTTCTTTTTGGTTAAAAAAAAGCATGTCAGGTTGAGAAGTTCCCAGAAGCACATTGCTGAGGAGGCACAGAGCCATAGTGAATACAAGCTGGAAACTCATCCAGTACCCAGGGCTTACCAGGCTCTGTGCTTTGGACTTGGCGGGAATGGTCTCTTCCATGGTTTTGCTCAAGAATCCTAGATTCAAGAAAGATGCTAGAAGCTGGTACTCAAAGTACTGGTTTAAAAAACTTCCAAAGGAGTGTTACATCCTGGGTAACTAAATTCTAGAGACAATTTTCAAAGGGCAGAGACCATCAAGTGCCATCACAGGGTCATTACATTGAAACTACATGAAGGAATCTCATTTTCATTGTTGTTGAAAATCTCTAGAAAGATTAGCTAATGTCAGAGATAACAGCATATCTGGATTATCAGAAAGAACTGTGTTCCTGTGGACAAGACAGAAACATGTGTTTTGGGTATTGGGACAGTTGCCATAGATACCGATTTAAGTGACCAAGGGCCAATAGATCCCTAATGGTGTAACCTCAGGGTCCTAATTTTAGTTCCAGCATGTAACATTTTTTTCAGTAAAATGATGAAAACTAATGCTTGCCCTTCATATTCAAGGTGGAAATCAACTGAGAAGAAAAGGGAGACCACAAATGTACTGGTTGGTTTTTGTCAATTTGATGCTAACTAGAGACATCTGGGAAGAGGGAACTTCAACTGAGGAATTTCCTCCATCAGATTGGCCTGTGGGCGTGACTATGTGGCATTTTTCTTGATTTCTAATTGATATGGGGGGAGGGCTCAGACACTGTGGGCGACACCTTCCCTGGGCAAGTGGGCCTGGACTGTATAAGAAAACAAGTTGAGCAAGCCGCCATAGTAAACTAGTAAGCAAGGTTCCTCTGTGGCCTCTGCTTCAGCTCCTGCCTCCAAGTTCTTGCCTTGAGTTCCTACTTTATTTTGCCTCAGTGATGGACTATGATTGGGACATGTAAGCCAAATAAATTCTTTGCTCTCCAACTTGGTTTTGGTCCTGGTGTTTATCACAGCAACAGAAACCAAACTAGAAAACCAAGGTACCATAATTATGAGCTGTAAAGACCTAACAACAGAGAAGAGGGTTTTCCACTTTCAAAACTGTTAAACCATTGATCCAAATCTGACGCAGAAGCACAATGTGTAAACACAGGGACAGAGAAGTTGCTGAGTTAGACACAAGAGAAAACACTAGAGTCCATGACATCTGCTTTCTGTTGTGGTTCTAGAAAACCCGAACGTGCAGGAGAGATGAGTTGACAAGAAGAAATGCTAATGGTCATATTAGATAGATTGACAAAACGCCCCATTTTTTCTTTTGAGATTAAGAAATAAATGTGTTGTGTGGGGTTTGGGGAGATGGCTCAATGGGTAAAGTTCTGGCTGTGTAAGCACGAGAACCTTGAGTTCAGACCCCCAACACCCACCTAAAAAGCCGGGTGTGGTAGTATGTGTTGGGAAGGCTGAGAAAGAAGGATTCTGCATGTATGTGAGCGCACCGCATGTGTGCAGTGCCTACAGAGGCCAGAAGAGGATGCAGGGTCACCAGGAACTGGAGGTACAGAAGTTGTTAGCCTCAGAACCAAACCCAGGTTCTGCAAAAGCGGCCAGTGCTCTTCACCACTGAGCCATCTCTCCAGTCCTTAAAATAAAATTTTTTTTTGTCTCTTTTGAGACAGGGTCTCCCTGTAGCCCCAGCTGGCCTGGAACTCACTATGTAGACCAGGCTGGCCTTGGACTCACAGAGATCCGCCTGCCTCTGCCTCTGCCTCCCAAGTATTGGAATTAAAGGCGTGCACTACCCCCACACCCAGCTACAATGAATTCTTAAAACTCTCCACCCGGTGGACTGACTGGCCCTTTGGTAGGATCACATTCCATGTCCTTTGAGGTACAGGAACTTATGTAAAAGAGCGGGATCCTTCTTGCTATCAACTATCAGAAGCCACCAGCATCCAAATTTCTAGTAACAGGCAGGTAGGACAAGTGACTTTTCAATATCTGTTCATATATATATATAATTCATATATATATAATCACAATATAATTCACTTTTATTCCATTTTATATTAAAATAAGGAGGGACTATTTGCTTCATAAAATTTTCAGGTGGACCTATATAAAGTTGTTTATGACTTAGAAATTCATGATTATTTTGTTTTATAAACTATATCACTATAAGATTCATTTTAAACATAAACTTACCTAGAGCAAATAAAGCAAAACCTGATGCCTATATTTGAATTCACCTGCATTGTCACTGTGAACTCTGTGCAGTTTTTTTTTCATAACCTCCAGTCCTCATTGTTTCTGAGTAAAGCAGACTAGTTGGTGGAGAGATTTACTGTTTGAGGCATATTTCTGACCATGGTTCTTCAGAGTCTATACTCATAAATGTATGATTTTGTAAAATCTACCACTGTCAGAAACATCAGCAAGATACATGCATTCTTTAAATTGCTACTTTCCCTCCAAATATACCCCAATAACCAATAACTCCAAAATTGAAAGACTTAGGAATACATATTCATAATATACAAAGAGCTCAGTTTTCAAAGGATTCTTGCAATGGACTCACATGCTTTGAAAAGATCCCTCACCCAGCCTCTCCCGCAGCCCTTTCAATGTTCTCATGAGGAAAATTACCCCTAGAGCCACAGTTCAGATACCTCAAGAGTAAAGAGAGATACAAAGGTCACAAACATTAGAAGAGTGTCCTCCTGCCTCCATAGCTGGAGGGAAAATGTCCTATCATTTCCGCACAACGCCATCCTGCTAGTCGTTAGTCACCCATCAGAGACTAATGCCTACCTCGTATGGCCACTGTCCATTCCATGTCTGAGATTGGATTGAAGGAAGAGTCCCTTGAGTGAGCTCATCAGGACACCTACGTCACGAATTAGGCTCAGAGAATACAAGCCCTTTGGATAATCCTGGTATCAAAGCCAAAGTCCCCAGGACTTACCAGCTGTCCTGCAGGTCCCTTCCTGCCCTGACGATGGTTCTGCTGTTGGAGAACAGAGGACTGGCAGGTTGGGAGTTGATAGGAAATGTAACTTACTGCATCTGGTAGCAGAGAACAGGGAATACAATGAACACAGTGTTGGGACGCCTAATGGGTTCACTGCCGAGACAACAGCTTGCCTGCCCTACATAATAGCCTGCCCAGGCGACCACTGGACAAGCGGATCCGAGTAAACAAAGCCAAGTACTTGCCTGGTGGTTAGTGTTCAGCAGGTTAGCTGAGGATGGAGGGAATCTGGCCAGAGAGCTCAAGCCCCAGGACTTCTCTGTGTGTCATCAGATGGCTAGAGTCTAGGACAATGGGTTTAGTTGGCAGAAAGAAGCAGGCCTGAGCCAGTTTCTAGAGGCATTAGGAACTTGGTGGGATTGAGCAAATATGGAAGATCATACTAAAATGTGCATGGACAATGTTTTCTCCATCTCTTCCTAACACTGAGCTGTTCTTTGTTTCTCCACTGCAGAGTTGGGGATTGAACCCACGGTCTTACCATGCTAGATAAGCCCACAACACCGAGAGACCCCAGTAAAGAGAAGAAACAGAAGTTATGACCGAGTTCCCAGCCACACTGAGCCTCTCTCACAAATCTGAAGTCATTGAAATGAATTGTCATCTTTTAAATACCGACTATGTGCCCCTTGTTACCACAAACTATTTTCCAGGAAATTTGCAATCATCTTTAAATACTGTATTTTAATCCAAAATGTCTCTTCTTGATAAAGAACTGAGGTTTTGAATCATAATTACCTGGACAGCAGGATACACTAATGTGATAATCTGATTCATTGGCCGGCCCTAAATATTAAGCAGAAACAGCAAGTTCCAGAAGTGACTCTCAAAGCTTGCAAACTACTTTGTAATTTTCTTGGGGAAAAATATCTAAATGCATAAATTATTTTTAACAATTATTAAAAATGGTATCACATAAATATCTATTTATATGCTTGATTCAAATAATCTCTCTAGAATCCACTGCCTGGTGATACCCCAGAATCTAAGCATAAATTGCCTGTAATGATTTTCTTTGACTTTCCCCTTTATGCCCTTTTCCATAGTATTAGCATTAATGTTCATTTCTCTCTCTCTTAAATTCTTTATGTTCCTCCTGACCATCGTCATCACCACCTTTTTGAATAATGAAGGTCAAGCATCTACTCTTGTGTTTCCCCAGGCCTGCCCTTGTGCAGTACATTCTGTGTGTGATATCCTGAGCACAAAGCACATCTACGTTTCTCAGTCACTTCATGTCTTTCTTTGTTTCTTTGAGATAGGGTCTCTCTGTAGCCACAGCTGTCCTGGAACTTGCTATGTAGACCAGGCTGGCCTCGATCTCACATTGATCTACTGGCCTCTGCCTTCTGAGTGCTGGGACCAAAGGCGTATATCACCATGCCTGGCTTTAAAGTCATGCCTTCTAGGTTAGCTACATTTACATTTGCACTAAAACACTGTATTTCCATAATCAGTTCTAAATACATTTCATGTGATTCTTTTTTAAAAAAATTATTTTTATTTTATGTGTATGAGTGTATTGCCTGCATGTACGTGAGTGCACCCGTGTCATGCAATGCTGCAGAGGTCAGAAGAAGGCTTCTGATTCCCCTGGAACTGGAGTTAAGGATGGTTCATAGCCACCATGTGGGTGCTGGGAATTGAACCCGGGTCCTCTGTAAGAGCAGTCAGTGCTCTTAACCACTGAGCCATCTCTCCGGCCCTTCATGTGATTCTTAATTGTCTTTCCTTCCTAACAGATTTGAAAAGAGAGAGTACATCCAGTACATTACAACTTCTTTTGGCTCTCCCCCAGAACCACTAGATGTGCATTCAATATAT